GTCTGTGCAGGTACAGAGCTGATTTCTGTTTGCGACGCACGCTTTCATTCAAATGTAAGTACAAAGTTCTTTTTATGTTTATTCATCGTTTCCTTCCAACTTCTGCTTCTACAGATGACTACAGGAGTATGTTGGTGTCCAGCGGAGACCCGATCATGTTCCGTTGCAACATATCCTCCAGAGATGCAACGCAAATCATCTGGATTAAAGGCAGATCTTATTTTACACATTCTGTTTCATTGAATCAGACATTTTCAAATTTCTCCTCTCCCAGAGTGACAATAGACCACAACTTACCTACAAAGCTGAGTATCAGCGGTGCTCAACCTGAGGATGCAGGACTTTATACATGTAGTATAAGTGGCGTTTATGGAGTCAACAGTATGAAGTGGAATTTAACTGTGTCTGAGAGTAAGTAAAGAGCAAGGCTAATGGTTTCTGCTAAACATGTAACACACTGCATGATACTTCATTCAATTCACTGTTGATTTCATGCAGCAACCCACCGGCCATGGTATTTTGTATACATACTTACACCTGCTATTGGATTGCTTCTATGCGGCGTCATGTCAGTGGTCTGCCTCTGCAGGTGAGTGATACCTTTTAGTTCCTTTTTAGTTCCAGATTTGCAGATATGAACACTTTCCTGTCTGTTTAAAGAGCAGTTGTCACTACTGGGATGGCTGATTTGATTATAAAGCTCAATCACATTGAGATTGTGTGTCGTCCTGCATTGAACATTTACCCACAATGGCATAGATTCTTCTTTTCCCGTATATATTCTTATAAAAGGTTTAAAAGGGACTAGCTGTGTTGAATATATTGAAATGTCTTTTTAACAGTGTGAATACCACAAATGAAGTCTGAACTTTCATTTACCATTGAAAACAAATCAACTCCTTGCAGCCCTCTAACCTTCGCTGGAATACGTACGCTGCTGCAGCCAAAAAACAGGGAACACAAGCAAACACAAAAACAATTTTTAAATAGTTCATAGTTCAAATCATTCACATGGCCTGGGCTGCAAGGTAGCTTGGTGGTTAGCACCATGGTCTCATTGCTACAAGGTCGCCGGTTTCTGTCCCAGTGAGGACACCCGGGATCTTTCTGAGTG